TTCCTCAACCTCAGAGGACATACCCAAACCCGGGGAGGACCACCCTCCACCCCCCAACGGATGCACAGCCATGCCCCCCATGGCTCCATGGGGCCCACTCGCCAACGCCGGCACCGTTACTGGTCCGGCCTTGTTGCTTTCAATGAAGCTTATTCAGACAGCCAGCAATAGGGGGAAGGACCTTTCTGAACTGAAATATATTACAGAATTAAACAGACACAGACTCTTTTTGTATTATTTTAGCACACACAGGCAATGGCTGGACTATGTCTATCATTTTCCCTTGTTTTTAAGCCAAAGTAACTTGCTTGTTTCAAATTTTTGTTCCCAGGCCTAAGACTTACCAAGCTTCAGAGGGAAGAATAAACTCACTCTGATATTTCATAGAAATCATTTACTATACATGCCAGCCATACTCAAACACTTTGCTGTCTCTGCGCAAGTATATCCCTGGCCATTTCACAAAGAACAACACAAATATATAAAATACACACACACCCACAGTTTGCTAGCGTGCACCCACTAAATATATAATCAAGTCCAAACTCACAGAACAAAAAAATAGAAGTGTTTACATCTTTTAGGGTAGGAAGGTAGGGGGATTAAATGATTGCTCAGTGGCTCTGTTGAGGTATGCTTGGTGCTAGCTGTGGTATTCTGCAGCCAATCCCCATGTCCAGATCACTCAAAGAACACAAAACCATAAAGAATATACCAAAGTGAGGAGGATACTGATATATGTATACTTTATTCATTTGGATTTGGTAGGAGCTGAGCTTCCATCTTGTATTTATATTTCATTGTGGTTATATGTAACAGGGGGCTGGTAGGGAAGCTATGGTCATAACATGAGCCAAATTCCAGATGTATTTATTTTTTTAGCTTAAAGCTGGAGATTTATAGTCGTGTTAACTTTTATTATGTGTGCTGTGCGGCTGTTGTGTGTATTCTTTATATTTTTTTGACAATTCTGCCTGTAACAAATGTTGTTATAAGAACACCAATCTAGAAAACTATAATGTTACTGACTTATTTATACACAATCGCTTCAATAGAACACCCTCCCTGAGCTGCCCACAGTGGGTTACGTGGCTGGGTGTATCAGTGATTTTAGCAGAATGAACATTGTAATATCCTGTTTCATTCCCTTTGTTCGGCTGTCCGTAACTCTCCTCCCCTCCCCATTCGTTTACCGAACGCCATATGTGTGGTCCCTGGGTTTGCATCATTTAACAACCGACCACTCCTGACTGTTAACCACAAATTGCTTGTTAAAGAAAGTGTTTCCCCTGTGTGGCCGCCGTTTGTATTACCGAACGCTTGTATGCAAACAAACGGTGGCCATTTTGTCTCTCGACCGGTACATGGTCGTCGACGACCTGGAACTTATTTTGGCTACTCTCCTTCGCCAACACCCAGTAAACTGATACTGCTGCCCATCCAACTTCCCAAACCAGTAGGAGAACAGCCTTCAGGAGACCTAAACTGATGAACAGGGGAAACATTCGTATGCTAACAGCCAGGGGGAACCTTTGTCGGCATTCGTATAAGAACCCCTGA